AATCATACAGATCATGATAATATTGCATAATATTGTTAAGGACAAAGTTTATCTTTGGTCTAGGGTACAAGAGTTTTAGGGAAAAAGAATGGGCTGCATTTGTGTGGAGCTGCTGAAAAATGCTGAATGAGAATTCTTAGATACTCAAGTTCCAGCAATCTGGGCAGTAGGTGAAGAAAACGATCATCCAGGTTTCCCCTCTCAGCACACACTTTATAGCTGCTCCACCCCCTAAGTTAACAACTGTAGCAAAGCTTAAGGTGCCAAAAGCGTAAGATACAAGCCATTCCAGAGAAGACTCTGAACAAAGGGTGTCAAACATACGGCCCATGGGCCAGATCTGGCCCCTGCAAGGCTCAGAAATGGCTCACAAGCAACTGGCTCCCTTTTGCTTCCTTCTCCGTGGCTGCTGCTGCTGCTGCATTGCAGCTTGCTTTTGCCCAGCTCCCTCTGCTGCTTCCTGCAAAGCCAAGCCTCCCTTCTCTCCATTGGCTGAGGGCTCCTCCTTTGGGAGAAAGGGAAGGGCAGGCAAAGAGCAAGAGAGATCCCCACCCAGGAGAGAAAGCAAAGTCTGAGCCCCATGGCTCCTTTAAGACCAGCAGCATTTTATTTCAGGTATAAACTTTCATATACTACTTCAGAAGAAAGAAGGGAGGGAGGGACAGATGGAAGGTTCTTCTGACAAGTATAATTTACATTGAAATCACTACGCTCTGCTGCTTTCTTTGAGACTTGATATCTGTCTCTGTCTCTCTCTCATACACATACACACACATACACAGGTATATGTGTGTTAAAAGGAAACGACAGGTTGGGATAAGTGGAAAGGAGAATTAAAAGGAATTATTTTGACTTATTCTGGAAAAAAATAGATTAGATTTCTCTGTGCCTATCTGGGATTTTATTTTCTTTTTTTTAAAAAAACTGATTAGGAATTAGAACATTTGTACTGGCTTCCATTGTTTAATATTCCAATTCCACTGAATTCCATTGTTTAATAATGGAAGTAGATGGCTAAGTATTTAAAATACATTTATGGTTGAATATGTTCCAGTTGAACACATCTCCGTTTCTCCCCTCCCACCTCACTGACTGCCTTTCTTCACTCCCCCTTTGCTTTTTCAACTGTTTCATTATCATCACCAAAACTTGAGTGGATTTTGCCCAGTCTGAAATCAACACATTATTTCACTTGGAGAGATCCCCCACTCCAGTTTAAGCAGATGAAGAAACAAAAGAAACCTAACAGTACAGCTTGCAAGCTTTATTAGTGGAAAGGAGCAAGACTTCAGCAGCACCTAACAAAATCTGTGGCAGGGCATCAGGTGTTGTGAGTCACTGCTCACTTCTTCAGATACAACTAGAATGTGAGTCCATTGGTCCTTATATCTTGGAGAGTAGAATGACTGCAGATGCCAAATGACAATAGCAGGCGTTGGTAATGAGTCAGGAAACCTAGGTCTCAATTCAGCCCTGGAGGATGCATTCAGCTTCATCATCAGTTGTAATTCAGCAGCCTCTCTCTCTAATCTCCTTTTGAAATTCCTTTGTACTGTTCAGTTCCATTTTTATCGTAATTAGACATTGGCCGTTACAAGGTTACAAAACTCTCAGCAATAAAAATACAGATTATGAACAAGTTATAAACTAATATCAGAATATACAAAAGTACCGAAAGTCAGTAACAAAATGAGACTAATTTAATACAGTAACCTAGATACTCACCCTTCCTGTGGCCACCTTGGAATGTATATTCTTTGCAGAAATTCCTTTGTAAGACAACTGCTACTCTTAGGTCAGCAATGTCCTGGAAGATTAAATGTTCCCTCACCGGTTTTTGAATGTTGTGGTTTCTAATGTCAGACTTATGTCCATTTATTTGTTGCATCCTCCTGGACTGAATTTAGACCTTGGTTTCCCATCTCATTATCAATGCTATTATCTCTATGCCTACTACCCCTCTGCATATCACACCTAATCCAATCAAGCCTGCTGTTGTCATTCACCTGCTATTGCCATTCAGCATCTGAAATCACCATTATAAAGTTTATATCTCTGGTACCTCATGTTACGTTTTATGGTATGCATGGCCCGGCCCGACAAAGTTTTAGATCCAGCCCTCATAACAAATGAGTTTGACACCTCTGCTCTAAACTGTCCATCGTGAAAAGGTATTTCCTATCAGTGACCAAGGCTAAATTCAAATGTTAAACACACTCCAGTTTGTTAGTGTCAAGAATGAGTGAAGTTTATTCTTGAACTTGCAAGCTCCCTCCTCCCCTCAAGCATACTGCTGAAACTGAAGATTTCCTAGTCTCAAAGCAACCACAGTTTGATGTAGCATCTGAGTGTGGGTGCATTAACAAACTGTGGTTTAGTTCTTGCCTACAAACCGTCAGCTATGCTGCCATGGTAGCAGGAGGGGTCAGATGACCTGTGTACAAAGTACTGAGGCATTCCTTCTGTGCTTCTTCTCTGCTGTAATGCTTGCTTATCTACAGCAGTGCAGGTGGTGTGGTGTCTAGGAGTGAGGGAACTGTGGGAGTGCTGTCGGTTCCCAGCTTTGGCTCAAACAGCCTGGGGCTCCTTCTCCCGTGTGCGGGAATGTGGCTAATTGGCCCAAGGGGGGGGGGTTACATACAAATATCCTATATCCCATTATGCTTGTAGGGGCGACGCCATTCTTAACAGTGCCTTTATTAATGCATCTATAGCTCTTCAATAAAGTATAACCTTTCTGATAAGCGTGTACTCCGTTGTTGGCTGTGGAACCTGACACAAACTGGAGCTTGAAACTATACCAATTTGAAAGCAAGAAACCGACTGCAATTTGTCTCAGATTGGTTTTAAGAGTCAGACTTCTACCATTGATCATTGTGCAGTACTCACTCATCTGATTGAGAGGTATATTAATCCTTTATGAGGTAAATTATATGTCCCCGTCATTGATTTGAAAAGGGCTTTTGATGCAATTCCTTGTGCCAGATTGTGGGGAAAGCTTGCAAAAACCGATATGGATCATTGACTACTCTGGTTAATTCATAAGTTTTACCAAAACAACACTGCACAGGTAAGGTGTGGGAGTAAAGGCCAACTGTCTAAAATGATTAAAATTAATAGAGGTGTTTGTCAGGGCTGCCTATTAGTGCCTTATTTATTTAACCTCTATATTAATGACACTGAAAACACTGAAAACTTTCTGGTGAATCTTTCCATCCTCCCCACCTGTCTCAAAAACCTATATCAAATTTATTTTATGCTGACGATGCCGTGTTGCTATCTTGATCATATGTTGGGCTGAAACGTTTGATGAACGTTTTCGCATTCTACTGCTCTCAGGAGCTATTGGACGTAAACTATTCTAAAACCAAAGTAGTTGTTTTTTCTAAAGGTATACTGCTTTACCGTTTTTTCTGGTTTATAAACGGCTAGCCAATCAAACAGGTTAACACCTTTCGTTACTTGGGTGTGCTTTTTTCTTCTAGTTTGTCCTGGAAAACTCATATTACTGCTGTTAAGAAGCTTGCAAAAATTTTTCCGGACTACGGGCGGTAACTTTCTATCTGCTGCCATTTGTGCTTATCATGCAAAAGTGGTCCCCCAATTACTCTATGGTGCTCCTTTATTTATTACTAGGGTCAACGACAAGTTAGACTCCTTCATTCTCTGTCAGATCTCTCCTCGTGTGTGTCTGGTCCAGCTATTTGTGTGGAATTTGCTGAGCAGTCCTTAGAAGCAAAGGCTTGGATGGCAACTTTTTTCTTTAGGTTAAAAAATACTCTATTCCCTAGAGGGATGTTATTTGCACCTTTTAGCTAAGGACAGTTTTCGAAGTTCATGGCTGCAATTGATTGATGGCAGATTACAAAGTTTAGGATTTCCCCAATTTTTCAATCAAGTATCTGCATGGTAGCAAATTAAATCTAATGTTTTATGCTTAGATAAATGGAGCACAAGTTGCAGAGCTCGACAGGTTTGTTCTTTGTATTATTTAGGTCTTCCGATTCCAGAATCTTTGCCCTCTTACTGTAAATCTTTGATGGTCCCCAAATATAGAATATTGTTTTCCAAGGCAAGATTAATTTTTTTGCCTCTTGGGGAATTAGCAGGCAGATTCCTAGGGACTCCTTTTTTAGAACAACTTTGTAATTGTAATTCAGGTGATTTGGATACAATTTGGCATGTTTTCAATGATTGAAGAAAATACGATATGGCTCGTGACAGATGGATCTCAGTGTATATTCAAAAATGGAGCCCTGCTACTAATCAGGAACTTGTAACCAATCTCTTAGTTGATACTGATCCAAATGTGACGTTGGCAGTGGCAAAGTTTTATCTGTAACCCTGGGTGGTATTAAATGAATTGACTCTTTTAGACAGTAAATATATATTTGGTAACCAAATTGCTTAATTTTGTGAAACTGTAACTAATTGTAATGTACTGTATGTATACATGTTGATTGATTACAACTTGCTTACAATATATGTTGTATTGTAATTGTACCAATTTGAAAGCAAGAAACCAATTGCAATTTGTCACAACAGACTTTGGCTGCTTTCTAACTAGAAACTCTCTAATTGGCATTCAACATACAAGGGAGAAGGGGAAAGGGAATGAAGCACATGACCTCAAGAATAAATCCGACTCACTCTTGGCACAAACAAACCAACCAGAATTTCTTCATGACATCTAAATGTGCACCTACATTTAAAAAAACAACAACAACCCTCAAATCCTTGTATCATTACAACTTTTCAAACCCTGTGGTGATATCTGTGAGTATGCATATAAAGATTTGTTTTGAAAAGTATGCTTTTAAAAATATTTTCTTTTAAATTTTACATACCACATCAGATAAGCCATTAATACACAATACTGTCAGCCAATATAGCTTATAGTGAAAAACAACTGCTGTACGCCAGATGGATGAACACTACATTCTCCATCATGTTTTGTTCCTGTTGCTGGAAGTACAAACATAATTATGGGCATCACCTACTTTAACAGCCATAATTTGCCCACTTGGTTTGTGGACCATTTTGTTGACAGAACCATAAGCGCCTCGTCCAATTTCTCCAAGGTCTTTCAAGTCCTCTGCAGTAAAATCCCAATGCTGTTCAGGAGAAATCTTCAATTTTCCTGATGATTCAATGCTGTGTGTTCTCAGTCTCTCTCTGTCAAAAAATTTGGGAAGGAATTTTTCCACATTTTAAATAGTTTTAAACTTTTCTCTTTTCGGCAGCATTGACTAAAAGCATTTATATATGAGTGCACAAAAGGCTAATGCAAAAATATAAGCTCCAGGAAAGAGCTAGAGAGGGGCAGAGCGAAGGATGCTGGGGCCAGACTCTCTTAGCTGGTACATGAGACTCAGTCAGCATCTTACATTACAGCAATATTATTTTCATTTCTAGGATTGGTTATAAATTTTCTGCATAAAACTATAGATTCCTAGCAGAATGCTAGCTGTGCTAAGAAATGTGTGGCAGCTCACCCTCTCTAGGTTGGTGACTAACAATTTCTACCCTTTTATGACAATGTAATCATTGATAATTCCATAAAGAAAATTCCCCTTTGTGATGGCTGTTTTTGTTTCCCCTAAAGAGGACGATCAATCTTATTGGAAAACTGATATAAAGCATAATCTCTTCAGTTAACTCCAAAAACATGTGCAAAACTAGTATTTGGTTATTATAGTTGTGAAGTAAAACACATTTCATTAGTAAAGCTGCTGGTGCATATATTTATTATTAAGGAAGGAAAGAATGTAGATATTTTGTGGCAGGAATGTGGGCTACAGACCACTTTTTACCATTTTGGGCAAACAGATAACAGACTTCCACAGTTGTGTTATAGTTCTTTATACTGATGTGGGTTTGTGTGAAGCAGTACATGGCATTTCTACTTTGGCTTCCTAATAAGCAAAAGTGCTTGCCTCAAGACAAATGTTAAAGCCTTCAGCATCTTTCATGTTAATATTCCTAGCAATTATTTGCTGTGTCATAGACTATGACTGAAGAGTAATGCTGAAATCCTATAACATATTGACTAGAAGGCAAGTCCCAAAGAGCTCAGCAGGCCTTTGCAAAAGTATGCAAGTGACTGGGTTATTACGATTTCTCCTTCAAGCCAGCATTAACAATCTATAAGACCTCCAGCTCTCAGTTCAGAAATGCTTCAGCAGTGTCATTTTAAAAGCCTTCTCTCCCTACTTTAAATAACAGAGTAAAGAAAGATTGGTTATTTGTAAACTTATAATGTACTGCAATTATAATAAAGGTAAAAAGGTAAAGGTAAAGGTTCCCTTGCTCGAAAGCCAGTCGAATCCGACTCTAGGGTTGCGGTGCTCATCTCCGTTTCAAAGCCGAAGAGCCAGCGCTGTCCGAAGACATTTCCGTGGTCATGTGGCCGGCATGACTAAACACCAAGGCGCACGGAACGCTGTTACCTTCCCACCGAAGTGGTCCCTATTTATCTACTTGCAATTTCTTGCTTTCGAACTGCTAGGTTGGCAGGAGCTGGAACTAGAGACAGGAGCTCACCCTGTCTTGCGGCACCCGGGTCTTGAACCACTGAACTACTGACCTTCCACAGCCTGCAGTTCAGCGTCTTAACCACTTGAGCCACCGCAGCTCCAAACCCAAATAAAGGTACAAAATGCTTATTTGACAGACTCTACTTTAAACAAAAATATGAAGAAAAATCCATTTAAACTGAAAATACAGTGCCAGCATGGTTTTTAACAGATTCCAACCCTGAATGTCCAAATTAATGAAAACCCTCTAGAACTACTGACAGGCAAGAAGGCCTAGTCTAAGGAATCCAATTTCTATACTTTTAACAGTTGCATCCTAAGCAGAGTTACACTCTTCTACATTCATTGAAGTCAATGGGCTCTTGGTGTTTGTACTTCATAGAATCATAGAGTTGGAAGGGACCTCCAGGGTCATCTAGTCCAACTCCCTGTACAATGCAGGAAATTCACAAATACCTCCTCCACACTTCACAGGACTCAAACCAAGCATGTGACAAAAACACAGCTCTGCCACCTACTGAGACAAACATCTTGCTTCTGGATATACTGACACAAAATCTTACTGATCTGTAATGTGTCACAAAATTCAAACAAGAAACCAGCCACCATCATCCCATGAGTGGCGAGATAAAAATTACCAGCTCAACTTTACATCTAGATCTACCCTGTTTCAATATAATCAGCAATTAATATGACAGGGCCAAGCAAGTTTGACATGAAGTCAAAGAGGGTTGGGATATTACTTGATTCCAGAGGGATAGCTGTGTTAATCTGTCCTAGCAAAATAATACAATAGTCCAGTAACACTTTAAGAATGAACATTTATTTCATTATGTGCTTCTGAGAGTCCCAGCTCACTTCTTCAGGTGAAAATGATGGGATTGTCCCAATTAGCTACCTACGCAAAGGTAAATGTTAGTGTAGTTCTGTTTTAAACACAACCTGATTTTAAAACTTTAATTCTATGCCATTTATTTAATTATGGTTTAAATTTGGGAGAAATAGTAGAAAGGGGCCAGAGAGGTATTTGGAACGTAACAGCTATGAAAAAATTGATCAGTGCTTGCTCTATGGCCAAGGTATATGTCATGACACTACTACATATCACCACAAAACTCTGGTTAGAAGTGCTATGTTTACTTAATTAACACCAGAGTAAATCCCATTTTCAATATGTAGTATCCCTTTGATAGAATAGCTGCAGATATGCAGAGTCAACAAGCTCTTTGACTGAATTGATTTAGTCTTAGTCAAAGGTTCAATGAACGACATTCTGCAAGTCCAAGAGACAGCTCGAAAAATAAAAGAATCAAAATGGCCATATCCAATCCTCAAATTTACTGACCAATCCAAACCTAAATGTCACTCATTCTGAAAATTATATTAAGGCAATCCTAAAGAGACTTGTTTATTTTTTTTCAAAAACAATTTATTAGGATATATTATTAAGTCAAGTACACATTATAATTTTAGTTGTTATACATCCTTTCTTCTATTAATCCCCCCCTTGGCTTCCCACAGTGCTCCAACCTCCAGCCCATTTCTTAAATTTTTCTCTATTTTCCCTTTATCCTTTTAATCATAAACTACCGGTAACATTTCCTTTGCCTACTTTTCTCTAAAGAGACTTGTTTATGAGTAAGATGAATGAGTGGGACTTACTTCTGAGTAACTATGAACTGGTTTATTCTGAAAAAAATTACTTTGGATTGGGATGTTTCACATGAAATAGTTTATCACTCTCCAGCTGTTACTATACTATTGTAGCACTAAGTCCTGACTAAGCTCATTCATGTTTAAGGAATGTCAGCCAAAAAATTACCTCCTACTTTCACTTTTAAGGGAAAGGCAGTTAAGATAACAAAAAAATTAAAAAGCAGGATGGAATACAGAAGCAGAATGACAGAAGCTTGGGAATTCCAGGGAATCAAGCAGTTCAATTGATTCATGGTTATATGAATTACTTGCAAGTGAAATCACCGCAGGATGCATCATCCTACTGTAACTGAACATGAGCACAATAATAACACTACAAAGAAAAACAGGTTGCTTACCTGTAACTGATGAACTTCGAGTGGTCATCTGTGCATTCGCACCTCTGGGATATAGTGTGCCTGCGCCAACCCCGATCGGTATAATTGAAAGCAAAAAGGGATTTTCGCACCCGCTCCCTGGTCATGTGCCGGGCTCTACTGCGCATGACTAGGGGGAGGGCACAAGGAACCCATCAGTTCCTTCTGACCACTGCCCTCAGTCTCCAAAGAAAGGAAAGAACCGAAAGCAGAGGGGAAGGAGGGTGAGTGGTGTGAATGCACAGATGACCACTCGAAGATCATCAGTTACAGGTAAGCAACCTGTTTATCTTCTTCGTGGTCTCTGTGCATCACACCTCTGGGAGACTACCAAGCAGTACATGCCTACCTGGAGGAGGGAGCCGAGGTCCTAATTCTGTGCCGCCTGCAACACTGCCCAACCTACTGCTGAACGCTGGTGGATGCGAACATCAAGGGCGTAGTGCTTCACGAATGTGTGAGGAGTGGCCCAGGTTGCTGCATTGCAGATATCTTTTAGCGACGCACCTCGCAGGAAGGCTGTGGATGCAGCCACTGCCCGGGTGGAATGTGCCCTTAGCAACCCCGGAAGTTACTTCTTTCCTAACGTGTAGCAGTTTAATAGTCTCCACAATCCATTTGGATAGGCATTGGGATGACAGCTTCTTCCCTTGGGAGGGTAAAGCATAAGAGACAAACAAGGCTGGTGACTTTCTAAAGGGCCGTGTTCGACTCAGGTAAAAGAGTAGCGCTCTTTTGACATCCAGCGAATGAAGCTGACGTTCTTCCTCGTTTGACGGGGACAGGAAGAACACTGGGAAGACAATGTCCACTCGTAAGTGAAACTCAGAAACAACTTTCGGTAAGAAAGAAACACCTGGAGCCAACGTGACCCCATTATGACGGAAACTCAAATATGGGGGGTCACAACGGAGCGCTAACAGTTCGCTCATCCTCCTGGCGGAGGTGACTGCAATTAAAAAGGCTGTCTTCCATGACAGGAGCTGCAAGCTACAAGTAGCCATCTGCTCTCCACGCTTGTCTGCAAGTCTCGTAAGCACCATGGGCAGGTCCCATGCCGGTGTAGGGCCATGCGACAGAAGAAAAAGGTAGGTCAGGCCCTTAAGAAACTTTTTGGCCTGCAGGTGGGAAAAAACAGAATAACCATCAATTGGTGGGTGATTGGCTGAAATTGCAACCAAAAATACCTTCAACGAGGTACAACTAAGGCCCAAGTCCAAACAGGACAACAGAAAGCCAAAAATTGCCATCAGATTGGATGGGTGGTGGCGGCAATCCTAACGATGTAATGTGGAACAAGAATTTTCTCCACTTCCCTTCGTAGGAAGATCTAATGGACGGCTTACAACAGTTCAGTATGACATGGTCTATTCTGTCTTTGAACTTCAGAAGAGGATCCTCCAAGCCGTGAGCTTGAGAAGCTGCACGTTGTGATGCAGAATCTACCCCTTCCCCGCAAGGAGGTGTCAGGGTCATTAGCCAGGTCACACCACACAAGGCTTCATAAGAAGATAAGTGTTTATTGATGGATCCAGTACTAATGAATCACATATACAGCTTGTGTCAG